AATATCTGATTTATCAGTGTGTCATAAATGTTAAATGAAATAGCCAATAAAAAAGTTTGTAAACTCTTGTCATGTTGTTAAATTTGTATAAAATTAGTTTGTTTAAGCAGAAACAAGTTTTTGAGTTTCGACTTTCGTTTCTCTCCCAAAATAGTTTCGTTGCCAAGTCTATTTACACAATGAGTCTCAGTATAACTGATATTTAACTAGTATGTACAAATTTGGAAACTATCTCTATAAAAATTGAATTCGATTGGATATTAACGCAGATAGTTTCCAAATTTGTACTAATCAAAAATTCACTATATCGAGCGACTGTATGCAATGGTGATATATATTTATTACACAACTAACAGCCAATAGGGCTTCTTTATCACAGAACTGTGATTTTAGCCAATCATCGAAGGCGAAATTAATGGCATTTCGGAAATTTATCGGATTTCAGTCATTGGGCGGAATTAACTTTGCCTAATTCCGGAATGGGTGATTGGCGAATGTACTAATTTCGCCCACAGCATTACCAAGAATATTTTAGATTTTTCATTTGTAAGTAAATAACAAAGTTTTTTTGGTAGGTTGCTTTTTTTCCTCCAAATCAATGTCATTTTCAAGAAGCAAGTTAACTCTAAACACCCATCCACTCACCTAGAAGGAAGGGTGAGATCACTAGTGGATCATTTAGGACTGCAGACCAGTTTATATCTAATTATTTCCCTATGGTGTAATAGAGTCAGTATATTCTCCAAAAACTGATAAATAAAGAATTCCCACAAATGTAACTTTAATAATAAAGGAAAAGAAAAACATCAGAACTATTCAAAAAATTTATTATTATTATGATTTAGCTTTGAAATTAAAAGATGAAAAGATAAGATATAATTAATACAATGAATAAATTTATAGTGGAGATTAAATTAATCATCCATTGATAATTTGCCCCCATGTGAAGAAATACACACATAATGCACATATGAAAACAACAGCAGAAATACAGAAACTAAACGAATTATTTTTTACCCCCTCTCACGAAATTATGGTAGTATCAATTTCATCAACAACCCCATCTATTCTTTCAACATCTTTTCCTTTACTATTGTAACTAGAATCTAATGTTCATTAATTGATTAAATGGGAATAAAAATACTGTTAGTAATAATTAATGGATAGTAATTTCCAATTAATTAATAATGAACCTTTTTTACCTTTATTAAAATCAGCATTTATAAGAAAAGAATTAAAATCAAGACTATTTAATGAACTATCATTACTTGTATAACTTTTTAAGCTTATTGATTTAGCAATTTCATCATTTAATATTCTGCTTTTATGATATGCACCTGGATGTGGTTTGTGTGAATTACTACTATTATCACTACCACAACTAATATTACTACTATTATTATTAATATCCAAACTTTCATTTTTATAAATTTCTTTTAATTCATTATCAGCAAAAATCAAAAGCTCTCTAGCAGTTGGTCTTTTTGATGGATCCACATCCCAACATTTCTGCATCATTTGCACATAATCATCAGGCATTCCTGGTAATATTGGTGGTCGTAAACCTTCACATATATCAAAAATTAAACAATGATTATGACTTCTATTATCAAATGGTGGATGTCCTGCAAATATTTCCCACATTAACATCCCAATGCTATAAATATCTGATTCCTTTGTGTTTTTTGTATTCTTTTTGCCTCTAAGTAGTTCAGGTGCAATATATGATATAATTCCATAGATTTTATTTGATGATCTTTCATCAACTGGCCCACATAATCCTAAATGTGTAATATAACAAGCACCTCCTTGCAATAATACATTACCACTATGTAGATCACAATGAATTGAATCATTTTCATGTATATAATATAATGATCCACACAAATATCTAAAGATCATAATTCTATTTTTTAATGTTAATTTTGAATGATTTTTTTGTAAATAATCTCTTAAATTTCCTTCAGGTATATACATAAGAACCATTGCATAACTTCTGTTATCTGGGAATTTAGTTATACCATAACAAGAAACAATCAAATGCGATTTAATGTTACAATAATTCATTGCCTGAAAATAAACATAAAATTAATTAATATAGTAGTATTATTTATTTTGCTACAAATAAAGTAAAATCCATTACCTCATCAAAGAATGTTTTTGTTGGATTACTTGAATCATTTAAACATTTTAATACTATAATTCTTTCTCCAAAATAACAAAATTCCTTTTTATTTTCATCATAATCAATTATATTTCCTCTTGTCCATGTAGCTTTATAAATTGAACTAAATCCACCTTCAGTTAATTTTGTTACTTCTTTAAATTGTTCAAAAGGTATCCATTCTAAAATGCAGTTTGGCAAAGATGAGAGTATTTGACATTGTTGAATAAAATTATCAATTATGTTATTTCCAGATGTCCAAGTGATGAAAAGACTCTGTAGTTGTAAACTAATACAACCTTCACAGAATCTATTAGAGTATTTTATTGATTTACACTTGTTACATTCTTTTGATTCTCCCCATTTATAAATAGCATCATTTAATTCAAATCCATAAATCAGTCCTTCTCTACAATATTCTTTTTCATTTCAGAAAGCTCCTTATTTTTTTTTTACCAATGAAAAAAAATAACCTTTTTGACTTTCTCTATCATGTGAATTTGCTGAAGCATTATTATACATTATTCTATGAATTTTAAATACAAAATCTTCTCTTTCTGGTGATAATAATTTCTTGAATGACATTTTTAACTTAAAAATTTTTTTTTATTTTGGAAAAAATTACCTTTTCCGTCTATCAATAGCGGAGTGTAACAAACGATGATAATAGGTTTTAATTCATTCTCATGGTGATAGCAATAATAATTTTTGTTATATTAATGGGATTAATGAGAGGTTTAACAAATTAAATGGTTTATTTGATTGTGTTTATTGGTATCTTGACACACAGAAATTAGCAATTCCGTGTACTTTTGAGAATAACTTTCTTGAATAAAAGAAGATAAAAACAAATTTTGACTTGAGAGTAATCAAATCGTACCTAAAACTATTCACTAGTAAATACTTGATTAATATTCTTATTGTCGTCAATTAAATTCGCTCTCCCAAAAATTAATAATCAAAATTTTTTTCACACAAAGACTGATGCCAAAATTTGAAACCGAAGAACTGGTTCCAAAGACCGCCATTATCTGATAATTTAGTTACACCGTAGCAAGTAACAATAATTCATTATCAAATAATCTGGGAATATATTATTTGAAGTATTTAAGGTTGTGTGAACTTCGAATTAAGTAAAACCGTTTTTATTTTCATCACAGTCAAATACGTGATCTCTTGTTCAGTTAATTTCAAGTTGTCCGTCTGAGTTGGAAGAGACGAAGATCCGATCTTGTAAATAAACAAATTTTTGTCATTGATTTACACCCGTTACATTCTCTTATTCTCTTAGCTCACCAACCATTTAAATAAACTTTTTTTTACAAAACACATTTTAAAAGTTCACGATTTTCTTAAAATAATTCTTTCGCTTTCTTCATTAGACATAATTAATGCAGCATTTTTATACATTTTCATTAAAAAGTTTATGCTGCTAGTTATTAAATGACGATTTTATTAATGGCACTGTAGTAGTATTAATCTTGGAAGTTTATTTTTTCATCGATCAGCGTAAAACTTGGCAAAATATTTTATTTGTATGACAATATTACTCTTGTATTTTTATATTTATAAAAATTTTTTTTTCAAAAAATAATTGCAGAATCGTTGTTTCGTTTCGTTCTTTGACTAATGATCATGAAGTAAGAATTAATTTTTCAATTTTTCCATTTTTTTAGAATATCAAAAAGTTTAAATTATTTTTGAATATGCAACTTACAGTATTGTTAATTAATTGGTCATTATTGATAATTTGATAGTAAAAATCAAAAATTAGAAATTATGACAGATGTGGAAGGTTTTTGGTCGATTTTTAAAGTGATTAAATCTATATGTGGATTATATAGACACATGAATTAATATTTAATAATTTTTTTTTACTAATGATAATATTATTATTAATATTATTATTACCATTGAAAATAATCATTTATAACTAAAGGAGGCAGCATTAGATCATATAGAAGAAGATTTGCAGCATTTCCTTCAGATGTCTCTTTAAGAAGTAGAAGGAACTTAATAAGACAAATTGAATCAGATGTTGAACGTGATGAAGGTGAATCTTCACGGCAAATTCAAATTTTACTTGCACGCATTCATGCATTGATTATATTAATATTAATAATATTAATAAATCGTAGATAAAAACAAAACTCCTGCAGAAATAATACAAGATGTTCTCAATTGTATTCAGAATAGATCCGAAGAACCTGGAATAAGAATTGATAAATTAAATGGCTTGGTTAGATTAATAAAAAATCACGAAAGGCTAAAATACACTTATCCTGCAGAACCATTTCTAAAAGGGTTATTCTTCATTCAATTGCAATTTATGAATATGAATAATCAAGTTCCAAAGATTTTTAAATAATTTTATATTTTAATAGGTTGAGATTTTGTATATCAGATTCAGTTAAAGAAGTGAGAATTGCAGGATATCGAACATTAAGATACTTGATTGCAGATTCAAGTACTTTAGATAAAATAATAAATTTACATTATGAAGTATTTATTATACGGTAAATTTGACTATTCGATTTATTACACATCATTTGAAATGTTGACAGGTTAATTCATTTCAAACCAAAAAACTTTTTCCATTTACTATAGATCTCTGGCAAAAGATCCACGTTCATTCAACGATGAACGTGAGCAAGTACTGAAATTGATTAGAGCATTTTCTGATGTGCTTGATGGAACAAAATATATATCATTTGGTATTATACGTTCTATTGTCTCTATTGCAGAGCAATCAGACGACAAATTAAGAAATATTTGCTTGGAGACCTTGGCTGAATTATGTAAATATTACATAGATACATACACAATCAATAGCTTTATATTAATTTTCTTTGGGGTTAAATATTTTAGTGCTTCGAGATCCAAAATTAGTAACCTATTGTGGTGGAATGAGAGTTTTACTCCAAGCCTTGGTTGATGGTCCTTTAGATATCGTTGAATATCTTATTATGGCTTTATTATATGTGATAGATCTACCTGATTCTAGAGAATGTATTAGACCGGGAGTTGATTTAGAGGTTTCTCACAATTTAAATACTTGTCTGTTATTTCCATACAATTAATAGTATCTTAAAACTTTTGAAAATTTTTTTTCCTCGGATAAAAGATTGTTCTTTCTGGATTTACAGATGCTTGTAATAAAGGACAGAAATACGAGCAACAGATAAAAGCTAGTTCGAGGGCAATTGCTGTTCTGCTAAAATCGTGGACTGGAATTATATTTTTTTGTATGAATGATAAACAAGCAATTAAATCTATTGTAGGGTCTTTAAGAATCACAACTGATGAAACACGGGTCAGTGGGTCATTTATTTCTTGATATTAAAAAATAGCACTAGTACATATGTACATATATATATATAAATTTATATGTGTATGTATAATATATGTGTATTTTTATTGTTACAATTATAATAATTGAATATATCGGGAATTATAAAGAATAAAAAATATGTTTCTTATTCGATTAGAAATTTTTTGACAATCCATAGGAAATCATGCTTGATATGTTTTTCGATATATTTCGGATAAAAACACCAAGTTGGTATAATAATTTTTTGACTGGAAAAAGGATTACTGGTAAATTATAAAAACTTTTTTCCTAAAAAAATTGTCATTTAAATTTTATTATATTTAAATAACTTTTTAAATTATTTTCTAGTGTTTGGTAATTCAATGTTCGAAGACAAAAATCGTAATGAATCACAACCTATTATATCCAGGACTCAAGATCGTCACAATTTGTTAGAACATCATTTAGTGATCTTACTGGATATTTTTATTGATTGTGGACTTCTAGAGGTATCAAGCAAATATGAAATTTTAAATTATCTGACGAATTATTAAAAAAAAAATAACGATTTAAAATTATTTGATGATTTACTTAAAAATTTTAAAAAATTATTCTTCAAATAATATTATTTAATGGAAAGGTATTAGTAGAAATTATTGAAGATAAAAATCAACATATCGCTAGAAAGGCTACTCTTTTTATCGGTGAACTTTTACAATTATCAAATAGATTGTTATCGGTATCTCGCTCTATACGTATACAAGTATGGAATCTTGATTTTTTTTTTAATCATAGTAATTATAATCAATGACAATATAACAATATAATGTTATCATTAAACTTGTGTACATTTTTTAGTCATTACCTGGACTTTTCAAATTGGCAACAAAATTTGATGATGAGATCGTTAGACATAGTGCAACGGCTGCTTTATCTCATATTGATAATCTCAATAGGACTAGAAGTCGTCTTCAATCCAGCGGCATAGATGAACATAACCGAGCCTCAACTCCTCGTAAAAGGCAGGTTCGACAAGTAGAAAATGTTAAACTTAAAATGGGAATACAAATTGAAGATGGACAATTTAGAGCAATGTTATTAGATTCTCAGGTGCTTTTATTCTCCATATTTATGATTATTTTTATAAAGATTTTTTATGCTGGATTGTTTTTTTTTTGTTTATTTCATTTTTATTCTTAAATGAAAATTGTTTATTTTTTATAAATTTAATAAATTTAATTATTGTTATTGTTCTTGTTCTTGTTCTTGTTATTACTATAATAATTGAATTATTTTATATGTCTAGATTTTAGCTAGTAAAGATTTTACAAAATGGAATTTAGAAATAGCGATGGAATTACTACAAGGACCTTTATTAAATCCTAAAAGACTTGAAGAAGTCATAAGAATAAAATTCATCAAGCAGCTGATTAGTTTCTTTCGGCCCAATAAAAGACGGTTCTCAGAAGTTGAAAAAAGTCCGGTTTGTAAGAAGAGAAAAAAACCATGATAATAGTTTTTTTCCTTATAGATAGAAAATTTACATGTATAATCTATCCAATTAAAAAAAACCATATTAGGAAAATGAACGTTATACTCAATTAGGTTGTACTCTTATAACTACTTTATTAACAAATCCTGATGGCGTAAAATTTTTGGAAGGAAATAAATTTTTAAGACAAATTGCTGATGGCCTTAACCAACTTGACCCAGTAAGAGTTATTTTTTAGTTATTTTTTTTTTTGGTTTCAGAAAATTCGACATGTTAATTTCCCTTTCTTCCTAAAATCAAAGATTAACGGAAGTTTTGAAGCTGAACCATTTTTTTCAAAAGAAAGACTTAACGTTACATTAACATCAGGATATTTCAAAATGCTTGGAGTTTTAAGCAAATTCAGAGATGGAGTCAAGTAAATAAACTGATTATTACATTTCTTTTTTTCTTTTTCTTTCTCAACCCATTCTGATATATTTTATTAACGGATTTATTTATTTTTAAGATTATTAGAAAAATTCAAAATATTTAATACATTTTATCATCTAAGTGAATTAAAAAGTCGCGAGGATTTAATTAAAGCAATCATCACAAATTTAGATTATAGTCTGTATGTTGATTTATTTTTATATAATTCCGTTCATCTATGTATATATGTTAATATAATTGATAATTTTTTATATGATTAGAGATGGACATCCGCGTATTCTTTTATCTAAAGTTATGACTTCAGGATACAAAGTATTTATTTGTTCAATCAATCAATCAATCACTTAGCTGACGTTGTTAATTTTGACATTCTTTATTAATTAAATATTTTCAATTTTTTGAATAAATTAGCGTGTAAGATTATATGCCACCAAACATTTAGGTGTAATTTTAAGAACGTCGGCCAAAATGTTTAATGAATGGGGAATACCATTATTGATTACACAGGTTAATTACATTATATATATTTACATACTCCAATTTGTTTAAAAAAATATATTATTTATTAATCATTACAAAATATAATTTTTGTTGTAATGATAAAAAAAATTAGCTTTACGATCCGGCAATGGAAGTTTGTCAAATGGCAGTTCGTGTGCTGGAGGAAACGTGTAATCATAAAGAAAACATAGAATTACTTGTAAAGCTACGACCAAGTCTTGATCATTTAGGTGAAATTGGGAATCCATTATTATTGAGATTTCTGTCAACATCGATTGGGTTCAAATATCTTTATGAATTTGATTATGTTGAAAAAGAGATGGATGAATGGTTTCAGGTATGATGATTAGGATATTTGCAGCGAATGTGAACTACTTGCGGAACCTCGGAAAGTCTTTAAATTAATTTCCACGTAATTATAATCAATATTTTAGAGTCGTAATCAATATTATGTAACACAATTGGAAGTTTCTCTGGCAAAATCATTGAATCTTGATGGCGATGACGGAAGAAACAGAAAAGATGAGAAAGATATAAAGTAAATAAAAACCAATTTTTTGCGCATGATTTAGATTGATAAATTATTTATTGATAAAAGTTAATTTACCAGACAAACATTTAACGAAACAACTCCGCCACATTTCTACGGAGAGTTGACCAAGACAGAAGAAGGATGTCAATTATTGAGAGAGAAAGGACATTTTTGTGAATTTGCAAACTATATACGTGAACATAAAATGGAGAATAAAGATCGATCAATTATCACAAAGCTAAAATCAATTCTGTGGGCAATCGTAAGATATATTTGCAAATTTGAAAATTTTTGAAAATTTAAAAAGTTAATTAATGTGTATTTGATTATTTAAAGGGCAATATTGGATCGTCAAAGAGTGGCTTACAGTTTCTTGAAGAAGAAAATATTATTACAAATATTAAATGTATCGCAGAAAATTCTTCGGTTCTCTCATTGAAAGGGTTTGTTCATATTATATTTATTTTGTTTGGTTATATTATATATATTATAATAATAATAAATATCATTATTTGAATTATTAGAACTTGTTATTTTGTATTGGGTTTAATAGCAAAGACTGCATCAGGTGTTGAGATTTTGGAGGAATTAGAATGGGAAAGTGTTTATGATCCAGATACGGGAGTTGGTACAGGACTATGTATCCCAATGAATTCCCAAGCATTTCTTTCGGTAAAAAATATTTTTATTTTTCATCAAAAAAACTTTATTACAAATAGTAAATTTAATATAAATTTTTTATTTAGTTTCCTAAATGGAATTATAAAGGTTTTTATAATCCAGCAGATAAATTAATTAAACCACTATCATCATCAAATAATCAAATCGAAAGAGACTTATTAAAAGCAATGTCAAATTTAACAAATAGAATATTGTCAAGTACAGGATCACGTGCTTTAGCAAAGTGAGTGTTTGTCGATCGACAATTGGTTGAATGAATACATGAATTATTTTTAATAATAATAATAACAATATCATTATAATGATTGTAATTTTTAGAATAAGATCAAAAAATCCTGAAATATTTACCAAACTTGAGACTTATTTTAAAGTATTACAAATGTTGTCGTTATATCATTATCGATTGCCTACCAGAAGATTAGTCGTTGATTTATTTGATGTAGATTTTTCACCTGAAGCTTTAGATCAATTGGATAAATTGTATAAATCTAAAAAACATGGAATTAATGGAATATCAACGATTTCATCATCATCATCATTATCAGTCAATAATATTGTTAGTTGTAATAATAGTAATAGTAATGGTAATAAAAAGAATGATAATAATGGTAATAATAATGATAGTGATAATGATACCGATAATGATAATGATAATGATAGTGATAATGATAATGATAATGATAACGATAATGATAACGATAATGATAATAATAAAGAGGATGTAAAACATTTGCAGCAAGAATCGATTAAAAGGTTCACAAGAACTCATCGAGGTAGTGATGGAGTTATTGCGATAATGTCAGAAGATCAAAATGATACTTTTGCTGAAGAAATTGTACCAAAGCAAGATTTATTACCAAAAATAATTGTTAAAGGATTTAACCTTTAATATCTTTCCATAATTTATTAATTTATTTATTGTTAATTATTTGTTTTGTTAATTTATTAATTAATTTATTTTTTCTTCTTGTATATTAGTTTAATTATATTATATCATCCAAAAATATGCTATATATATTGTGTATAAGATTAGATATATATATATTATTATATATATAAAAAATAAATTTTTTTTTCTTTCGATTATCAATCACTTTTTTTTTCCTTAAACAAAATAAAATGTCAATAACTTTATAAAGGAAACATCGAAAATCCTTGAGAATATGGAATTTCTTGGCTATCAAATCCAGCGATATTGGTTAGATTAGTGAAAGTAGATTGAATATATCGATAGACTAAATAAAAAAGGGTGTTTTGTTGGAAAAAAACTTCTTTATAAAACTGATGATGCTAACTTTACCTGAAATCTATAAAGTTTTTTAACCATTAATCTTGAATTGGAAAAGGTATTGATGCTTTATATAATGGCATCTAAAATAATTGCAGCGGCTTTAGCTTGTACGAGACTTGATATTATATGCAATTGGTAGTAGTATTCTCGGGGTTTTCGTTTGAGAGAGAGATTGTATTTTTGATATTTCTACCAAATTGATTTATCGCAACTGACGAGGAAAAGATGGTGGTAAATAATATTCGACACCAAAAAAAAATGTTGACGAAACATTATTATTGAAATCGTTGTCGAAAATTGTTTTAAATATTTTGTCGCATTTGTAAAATTCACAACGTTCATTATTTCTATCTATACACTTCAGGCTCAACCCACAAGCCCAAGTGACTATTATACTCGACAGACAACTGAATATTTACTAGATGTGGCTGTATTGTTTGAATACATATGTTGGATTATAAAAGAAAGTGACTGGTATTGGTTGGCAACGGGCCATTCGTACATTATCTACAGACGAACCTTTTGTTAACAGATTTGATTTTTTAAATCGATGCTAGTTTATCCAAACTCAAAATAGATATTGGCAAACAGTAGAATGATATAATATGGCGCAGTTTCATGCTTTGCCAACAGCCTTTAAGTTATCAGAATATTTGTGAACATGGAATGATTGTTATGGTGTTTTTGCTATTATAACCTAGACCTGTAACGATTTCATTTTTTGGTAATAATTGTAAGGATAGATTATTAGAACCAAAGTAAGTAACAACAATAATGATAATGATAATGATTAAATATTACGGTAACATTAAAATTTATTTCTATCTATTATTATAATGATAACAAATAAAAATTAAATATCAATTATCGTTATTGATAAAACCCATTGATTTAATAACGAATCCTTGGGCGGAAACCATAACTTTTGTGTTTTCGTCCAGGTCTTCAATGGAATTTTCTGATCCTAAAAGGTTGTCGTTATTATTATCTTTATGTAAAATTTTTTCAGGATGTCACAAAAATTATATGTTAATTAATATGCGCGCCGCCACACTCGAACGCAAATAATATAAAGAATAAAAAAAATCAGTCATGTTACCATATTTTTCAACCGGTAGGAAATTTTCATTTTCATTTTTGATAAATTCCATATCTAACATGATGAAATATGAAAGCGAAATTTGAATCACGATTTCCGTAATTGGTTTGTAAATATAAACCAAATAATCATCGTGATTATTAACAACAAATGTGTTTGATAGTAACATCAAATGTTGTATAATTATAATGGCCATCCTTAAAACGTTCCAATCAATTGTAGTGGTTTCGCGAAGTTGACGTTGATGGGGAAGAATCAAACGAAGTTCTTCAAAGTATTTAAATAATCTATACACTGATAAAATATCAATGATTAAATCAATCGATACTGAAAGTCGTAAATATACGATGCGTTCACGTGTCGAAGTGATATAAATTATCTTTAAAAAAATATATATATTTAATTATTTAAATGGAAAAAAATAAAAATAAAAATAAAAATAAAAAATAATTTTATTTTTATTTTTATTTTTTTTTTTGCTTGCGTTAAATATTGTTCGTAGAATCAGCAAAAAAGAACTCATAAAAACTTGTTTGTTGCTATGTCTAAGATTGCAAACGAGGAATAAAGCAATAGCTTCCATGAAAAAGAAATCCGCGACTGATTGAATATCGTTCGTATCATTTGGATTTTTTGTAATAATAATCAATCCAAATTTACGAATAAGCCGTGTGATATTAAAAATTTCGAAAAAAAATTTTAAAAATGCAATCAAAGTCGACGAGGATTTTTTATTATAATAACGATGACGTTGTAGGTAATCTAATATCGAAACTATTAAATTATGAAACGAAAACTATTTTTTAAAAATAAAAATAAAAATAAAAAGTTCGATTGAGAACTAGAAATTAGGAATCAGAATTGAAACTTTTTAAAAAAAAAGTGCTACCATTGTCGCAACTCCGACAAAGAACGCGATTACAGAATCATTCAACATTTTTGGGTTTTTTTTTTCTTTTTTTAGTAGCACACGTAAATGTAAGGAGAAAGGAAAGAGAAACTAAATAAAAGTTTCAAGTGTTTTATCAGGAACTCTTTACAAAAAAATCGGCAAATTATTTTACCATTCAATAAATTAGTATTTATATATTTGATATATATTAGTATTTATATATTTGATATATATTAGTATTTATATATTTGATATGTAAGTGTGAACAAAAATAGAATTCCGTCAAAATTTCTTTTTATATTTTTGCAATGAAAAGCTATTTCGCATAAACAAACATTATCTATTCATATTGTGTGTGTGAAACAACTTTTTTGGCGAATGATTTTGAAACCTGGACTCTGATGATGTCAACTAAATGATCATTTGACAATTCTTTGTTATTATTATTGTTGTTGTTGTTGTTGCTGTTGTTGTTATTGTCGCCACTAAAGTTGCGATTGTTATCAAGGTCGCATGTTGTTAGCTATTGTTGTTGTTATTATTATTATTATTCTCTGCAGTAATCTTATAATTAGTTTGAAAAAAAACGAGTTATATTACAGAATCTACTTTTCATTTATGTGTTTATTTATTACTCTTTATTTAGGGACGTGATTAACTTATTTAGATGAAAAGTTATTTTGGTTTGATGCATTTTTTTTTAAAAAAATTTACCACTAGTTAGCGTAACAAGCCGTCAAATCATTTATGCTAAATTAAGAAATTATTTACATCGAATTCGCGCCTAAACAAAATGGTACCCAAATGATAGAAACTTGATATTAAACTTGATAAATTTTATGATTAATTATTTTTTTTAAATATGGTTTTAATTGCAAAGAAAAATATCGGTAATTGGCAGATCATTTCTTAAAATGGATTGAATGAGGTAAACAATAATAATTTATATTTTTGGAAATAATAATCATTCCAAAGGAGCTTTAGTAGGCGTAAAATAATAAATCTAATCTTTATTATTTGTCAAAAATTTATTTCGAAAAAAAAAAACCAGAAAAAAACAACTTTCCAATAGAGATGTAAATATTTATCATACATTTAGAAAAAATCTATTATTATTATTATTAACAATAAATAAGTGTTCACGAGGTTCTCTTGTACAAAAAATTTACTTTATTTTTTTCTAAATACAGAAAAAAGTATTTCATCAAATGTTAATTGTTTAAGTGAAACTACAGCTTCTCTACCATCTCCCAACTCTTCAACTGTAGTATAAAATTGTTGTCCGATTGACTCGGATGAAGCTGATGATTTAGCAGAGAAAGAGCCAGAAGATCTAATGCGTGCTAAAGGTGGTATAATTACATCTTGTGGTGGATTTGTTTCTAGATCATTCTTCACAAATATTCTTCCTTGATTATTTGTAGCAATATCTTCATTTTTTAATTTATAATAACTATCAAAGTTCAAATTTATTAGACTTGATATAATTATATAAATTAATGTTTTGATAGTGTATCTGATTTTCTCATCAAAGCTAATATAATGACCATAATCATCAATATTTATGAATGATATTTGTATTAATGCAAGTAATAAAATTGATAAATTCCACCTTGAAAAGGTTTTAAATGCTTTGTATCTTTGATGATTTTCTCCTAAATTTGTTTTTAAATAACCAAGATTTTTCTTTAAATATCCAAATACTCTGATTCCAACATAAGTCATTGTAGCATAATCTATTGCTATATAGCAATAAAATGCTATTATATTGGCATTTAATCCATCATTGCATTCACTTTCCTCGCTATTATTATTATTTAAATTTGTCGTTGGTCTTCTCGTTGAAATAAAAATTATCTAATTAATTAATAAAAGAAAAACCAAATACTTTAGTAATCAAATTAATAAAAGATTATTTAGCGTGGGGTAATTTAAAAGGACTCTCTCTCTTACATTAAAGATTGTTTTAATAGCGAGAAAAGTTGTTCCAACTATAATGTCAATCTTCGTGTTTCCTATTAGCACCAATCTCCACAATAGGAATACAACCAATACTTCATAATGCATGAAGCTGGTTATTATCCCTAGAAATACATTTGGTATGCAATAAGAATACGAATGGTTTGATTCTATGATTAAACGTGTAGCATAAAAAACCAATCCACTAAGATTGTAAGATATTTTTAGAGGGTTTGATTTTTTGATTGATTTATAAATATTATAGAATGTAACCTGTATTAAAAAAAAAGATTTTAATATTTCGAGGAAAAAATTCTTTAAAATTTGAAGCAATCGAATTCACTCACCAATATTGAAATTGATATTAAGATGATAATATAAACCTTCATTATTTTATTATTTTTGATTTTTTAATGATATTTAAATTTTAAAAGAAAAATTTTTTTTCGATCCTTTTATTAAGCAAATATCCAATGCAACGGATAATTCTCGTTGAATTCAATCGTTACCATTTATATCATTTGTAGAGAAATCTCCTCTATTAAATCTCTAAAATTTATAACATGAACGTGAAAGTGCTAAAAAAATCTCAAACAAATTGCAAAACAAGAATAACTTTTTTTTGTATTGTTCTAAAAATCAATCAGCCACCTTCCTACTCATTCTTAATTTATGGTCAAAGGCGCATTAGTTTTTGTATTTTCCGAATTTGTGTCACTTTGTGTTTGACACAATCAACTTCAACTCCGATTTATTGTTACTGTGTAACAACTAAATGCGCATTAGGTTTCGAAATTTATTTTTTAATCATTAGTTTAATAAAAATGTTAGAGATGTGAAATTTTGCACATATAATTTGACTAACCTAAGTTTCCAAAAAATGGTTTTTAATATTAATTTAATTATTATTAAATACATTTTCGTGCAATTTTTGTTCAAAAATGCGCACGACTTTTGTATTTCAATAATAATAATTTTAGTTACACGGATGTTATAGTTGACTTTTATACAATTGGCGAGGACTCTGAGCTATTAGTATATAGAGTAACAAATCTATTGACCTCTTCAGTTGTAGGGTTTTGTATTTGCATAAAATCAGCCAAATTTCCGAAAAGTTGATCGTAATTTTGAGAATGCTTGTTTTGATTACAAATTAGGATATTATAATAAGAGTTAAATATTTAATTCAAATATAGCCTGTTTTACTTGTTAAACTTTTAAAGTTACTAGGAAATGGAAAAGGATATTATTTTGATTATTTTGGTCGAAAAGATATCATTCAAAAAATAATTCTTTAGTAAAATCTCACTTTAATAGGATTTAGAATGTTAAATATAAATAAAAAACTTGAAGTTAATAATAATTAAAGGTCAAATAATTAATTTGCTTATTTAAAAATTTCGAAGTTAGATTCCAAAGATGCGTATTGATATTGGTAAAAACTCATACGTAGAACTATTACTATCATAAAAAAATTTACCTTCCCTGACTTATATATTAATTGTTTGAGTCCTAGTTATTAATATGGTGAACCCCTATATAGTGGATCGTACGATATAATGAAGTTGGAAATTTTCCCGTTATAAAATTCTTCTTGATATGATTTTTAATATAGCGAGGTTTTACTCGATATAATAACATTTTATCGATCATTCCTTATTTGTCATAATGGAGTTTGAATTTAGTAATTTGTCGTAAAAAATTTTTACAAATATTAAATTCAGTAATGGTAATGTGTCGCGAAAAATAAATAATTGAATTTGGTAATGTGTCGCGAAAAATAAAGTAATTGAATTTAGTAATGTATCGCAAAAATCAAAGTAATTGATTTAATAATCTGTCGCGAAAGATAAATTAATAAAAAAACAAAGTAATTGATTTAGTAATCTGTCGCGAAAAATAAAGTATATCTTCTCACTGATTTTCAAGACATTTACAACAAAGTTGAAAAGAAAATATTTCTTTGAAGTTAAAATGTAATGCCATGGCTTTACATGGAGAGTTCCTTTTTATATAAAAAAATATTTCATTAGAAAGCCTTAATGGTGCAGTTTTACTTTGCTTTAATTATTTTAATAGTAAAATTGTCTTTATTATGAAGATTAAGTTTTTAATTTTTATATTTTACAATGAATTCGGATTCTACCATTGTTTTTAAGACTGCCCATTATACTCCTTTTTTTCGGCAATTTTAATTGGAATAAATGTCCATTAGTATTTAAATAGTGTTAACTTTTTTTATTAAAAATCTATAAATACGACATAGAAAAATTTTATATACAATTATACACATAATATATAGAAACAAAATTATTATATTAAAAATAAACATAAATAAATAAATATGTTTTAAATCTAAATCTTTATACAATATAAATCGATTCACTAGTTTTATTTGTTGCACTATCTCTAAAATCGTTGCTATCTTCTCAATTAATTATAGGATCATTACTAGTAATATTAACAGAAGGTTCTTTTGTTTCACCTTCATTTACTATCCCTTGATCTTCCTGATTAATTATAGGATCATTACTAGTAATATTAACAGGATGTTCTTTTTATTCCCCCTTCATTCACTACTAAACCATCGTATTCTTTGGTAAGTCTTCTATCTGTCACAATTTTTCCCCCTCGTAAAATGGTGATCATTTATTAACTGATGGATTTTGATTTTCTTCTATAGAAATAATTTCACTATCATCAGTATTATCAAATGATTCAATTATCGTTGCTGAATTGTTTGATGATGTGAGAAATGATTGGATATTTTTATTAGGAACATATGCATTTCTAGAATATCGTGTTATATTTTTGAATGATTTAGAACCGATTGATGGTCTTCTACCTTCAATTACTCTCACTATCTCCGCATCAATAGTTATTGCATATGACAATCCTATTAGAAGTAATATCTGCGTATTGTTTATATAAATCGCCAACTCTTTGTCGTTGCTCCTATAGATTCCAGATATTGTCCAACCTACGAACATTGCACTTTGACTAATTGCAAGAAATAATCTTAAAAAGTTCCAGTAGATGATTGCAGTAAACAAAGTTCTTCTTTTTTTTTCCCTCGATTCACCCGCCAGAAGTAATGCAGTTTCATTTGCCTTGGTTAAAATTTGCATAAAACGAAATGTCACATAACATTCAATTAATAAATCAATTGATATGTATCCTAATACTTGGGTCCTAGCTAGATCTAATCCTTGATTACAAAAATGGGCATCTTCTTCGTCATCATAAACTACTGTTGGTCTTATTTGGAAAAATTGAGCAATCTATTTTTTAAAAAACAAATACTAATTAGATTAATAGGCTGTATATATATATAATAACTAAACAAATTTATATATATATATATACATTAAAAGCAACTCTTGCAGTAAATAGCGTGGAGCCAATCCATAAATCCATTTTTTTATTATCAATGCCCTTTAGTCTCCATAATAAAAATCCTTGCAATGCAGTTCTGTAAATAAAAATTCCTGTAACAACTAAACTTGTTAATGCAATACATTGGCCTTCTGTCACATCATTTGGTACTACTAATTGCCAAATTTGAGATATAGCTTTAATTAATCCTCCGAAATTATATAAAATTTTAAAAATATTCAGCAAATTTGTTCGAGATTTATACAACGTTATCGAAACAAACAAATTATGAAGGTGCGCCTATTCAAATAAACCATTATTAAAATAAATTATTCATCAATTAATTTAATTTTTGTAAGTTTTTTTTATTCACGTTACCATGGTGTAAAGACCACTGAACAACCCAAAAAAAGCTTGCACCACAAATGGTTCGTACATTATTGCTGTGTCAGTTTATCTTTGAAGTTTGTTTCGAAGTTTTAAATTATTGATTCTTTTTTTCAAGAATTATTCTTTAGAGTTTTCCTTTAAAATTACACTTATATAATTTTTAAATAATATAACTCGAAATTTTAAGATCTATTTTGAAGTATTAATAAATTCATTAGGACATTACCAGTGTATTATAATGAGAGGGAGAATAAGAGAGACAATTTGTAAGAAAAATTTTTTTTTGTGGATTTGTTTTTTACGCTATCAAAGTGGTGCATGCATGTTGTGGGAGGAAGAGCTAGATGAATTATTCTTATGTATGACAATAATTTTTACTATTGTTCGTCAAACTTTAATGATATATAATATCAGAAATTATTTGATTCATTCCTTATTTTTCAAAAATACAAAATCAACAGTGAATAGCGATATTTGACTCAATCTTAATATTTGTTCGACATAAATGATTTTGTGAAAAAAGTCGGCGTTAGTTCATTATGATTTGATTATAAAATTTTTTATAAAAATATTTGCTAAACGATGGTTGGTTCGTTTGTTTATTAAATTTTATTCATTTAGCTAATTTTTATATTCGCGTAACATTATTGTTTTACAAATTAAATAATAAATAAATAATTTAAATTAAAAAGACAAGAATAAATACAGCATTTAAATTAAAAATATTATACATTATCAAGCCCAATCATTTGGGGTTCTCGTTGTCCTAGGTGTCATTAACGCCGTCCCACCGAAATTATTATCAGTAACTTCTTCGTCAATCACTTCTATGTCTATTTTGTTTCCTTCATTATCATATAACTCATTATAATCATCGGTATCTTTATTATTTTCTTTGGTAGATCGGCCGTCTAATACTAAATTTGCGCACTCGGTAAATGATAACTTCTTCATCGACACAATGGCAACTTTACCTTCATCTATATCATCAGAATTTTTTTGCTCGGCTTCTGATAATTCATAATGTTTAGAAGCGAACTGAACTGATGCTAGACTCTGGTTGGATGTACGATTGCTTAATGAAATCTCAGACATGCTTCCTTTAGTCGAGATATCATTTCTAGCTGAGCCACTAGGAACTTTTTTTTTACTTTCAACCACTTTCACAATTTCTACATCAGCAGTTATAAAATATGATAAACATATGTATAATACAGTTTGTATATTGCCTTCAATAAACGCATGATCCAGATCGTTATCTTCGTAAAATCCAAGTAATGTATATGATAAGACAATTACATCAGAAATAATTGCCAAAAACACTCTAATAAAATTCCAATACATGACTGTTGTAAATAAACTTCCTTTTGAGTTTCTTGTATTATTCATCAATATAGAATATTTATTTGCCCTGATCAAAATTTTTACTAATCGGAAAGTGACAAACAAATAAATTGCAAACTCAAATACAAGGGCTCCAATTATTGAAACTTTGTTATGTTCAATATCAGATGAACACCTAAATGATTCATTTCCTACATCATAATTAACAGTAGACTCAATTCCAACTATTGGTGGTGCTAACTATTATTTTTTTATAAAAGTATTCAAGGAAAAAAGAGAATAAATAATAATGATAACTGTTTTATAAATATAAAGAAATAAATGATTATATTATACATACATGAAAGAGAAATCTACCAATAAACAATATCGATCCTACCCATACATCCAATTTTATGCTTTCGATTTGTCTTAATCGCCACAACAAGAATGCAACCAAAGCACTTTTATAAATTACATTTGCTATTGGTAAGAAATAGCTTGCCAATTTACACTCGATGATTGTTACATCAACTGGAACTACTATAAACCATAGTTGTCCTGCATTCCTAAGCAGTCCACCAATATTAAATATGATTTTTAGAATATTTGAGACTTTTGTTTTTCGAACCTTATACAATAAAATTGAAATAACTAGATTGTGGAAATGAACCTAAAATGCACATTATGCAAATAAAATATTAATAAATTAATAAAATTTTTTTAAATAAATAATTCCAACGATATATATATTACCATAGCAGATAGACCAATCAGCCATCCGAAATAGCTTTGCATTAAAAATGGATCAAAGATCATGTTGTTTAAAATATTTCTTTGAAATTAAATGAGAAAGATTTTTATTCACGACTTCAAATACCAATTTCACAAATGTTGGATTTATCAAACTAAAACTCCTCAAAATAAAACCCGAAACCAGGATGGGATTTTTTTTATGGTCAGAAAATTAGAATGAACAAAACAATACAAAGTTCATTAAAAAAATTTTTTTTTGGGGAACTAATTTTGTAATCGAATAATAATGTTGCTTGTGTTGAGCATCACAATAAGTGTACAATTTTGTTTTTTTTTTAATTTAACTTTAAATATAAATATAGAATAATAAATAATAAAAATTAAAATTTACATATTTAATATAATATAATACATTAAACAATATAATTTAGATACTAATACTAATACTAATAACTGCTGTATTGACGACGATACTTTATTATAAAAAATTATTAGTCGAATTAATTATTTATAATTCAAATTACCAACCTGAAAAAATTTAATTTAACTACACCAAAATAGAATATTGGTGCTTCAAGGCTTGCCACTTTTGAACAATGTATCAACTGTACTTATTGTAATAATGATACAGGATTAATACACTAAAAAAGAAATTTATTTGTCAACTAAATTTTGAATGTTCAATAAAAAAATAATTTCAAAATTGCTAAAACTATTTAATCAACAATGTAATTTCATAATTATAACATTGTTATAATAATTATAATCATTAAAACAATCATTAATTGAATGTTATACTTACTCTTCAATAAAGTTACTATTAAATCCATAAGTCTTATCAATGAAATTTGTAAAATTGTTCCTTGATATCCCAATAATAAGTTTATTAACATATTCAAGCCGTTTATGGCTTGCGAAACGTTAATTTCCACATTATTTAGGTTTTAAAATTTAACTTCAAGGAAAACAAGTTTACAAATGAGGAAGCAAAGTGAGCCATCGAGATTTTCATTTACGTTCCGAATTCGCAGAAAGAATTTCAAATTTCAAAAAAAAAATTTATATAGTTGGCTTGGTCTAAAGACCTCCTAAATTTTGGGCAAATATTAAAAGTATAGAAGTCAATTTCTGTCCTACCTTTTAAAAAAATGGCTTTATTAATTGATAGAATATGTCTTTAGTTTTAATGTAATAGAGAGATTTTCTCAAAAAAATTATTTGTTTTAGAGTTCTATTCTTTTTTAAAACATGTACTTTACTATGCTCGCGAGGAATTTGTCCACTATGATCATTTCTAAATTTAGGAAAAATATTACCAAATTTAGACTAGATATTGACTATCGTATCTAAATTTGGCAGTAAGAAAACTAAAATCACGTGAAGTCCTAATTTTTTGAAAAATTTTATTACATTTTTGAACGAATTACTAAGGTTGCTGGTGAAATTGAGTAGTTACGGCTGGTGTAACTGGTGAAACTATTCCACCAATGGTGCAACTCAAAGGATGTTTGTCGAAATTGCCGTAACTGGTGCAACTGGTGCAACTGGTGCAACTGGTGAAATTGGTGCAACTGGTGAAATTAGGGAAATTGGTAACTGGCAAAACTTTATTATTCCAATTGAAAGAGAAATCTACCAATAAACAATATCGATCCTACCCATACATCCAATTTTATGCTTTCGATTTGTCTTAATCGCCACAACAAGAATGCAACCAAAGCACTTTTATAAATTACATTTGCTATTGGTAAGAAATAGCTTGCCAATTTACACTCGATGATTGTTACATCAACTGGAACTACTATAAACCATAGTTGTCCTGCATTCCTAAGCAGTCCACCAATATTAAATATGATTTTTAGAATATTTGAGACTTTTGTTTTTCGAACCTTATACAATAAAATTGAAATAACTAGATTGTGGAAATGAACCTAAAATGCACATTATGCAAATAAAATATTAATAAATTAATAAAATTTTTTTAAATAAATAATTCCAACGATATATATATTACCATAGCAGATAGACCAATCAGCCATCCGAAATAGCTTTGCATTAAAAATGGATCAAAGATCATGTTGTTTAAAATATTTCTTTGAAATTAAATGAGAAAGATTTTTATTCACGACTTCAAATACCAATTTCACAAATGTTGGATTTATCAAACTAAAACTCCTCAAAATAAAACCCGAAACCAGGATGGGATTTTTTTTATGGTCAGAAAATTAGAATGAACAAAACAATACAAAGTTCATTAAAAAAATTTTTTTTTGGGGAACTAATTTTGTAATCGAATAATAATGTTGCTTGTGTTGAGCATCACAATAAGTGTACAATTTTGTTTTTTTTTTAATTTAACTTTAAATATAAATATAGAATAATAAATAATAAAAATTAAAATTTACATATTTAATATAATATAATACATTAAACAATATAATTTAGATACTAATACTAATACTAATAACTGCTGTATTGACGACGATACTTTATTATAAAAAATTATTAGTCGAATTAATTATTTATAATTCAAATTACCAACCTGAAAAAATTTAATTTAACTACACCAAAATAGAATATTGGTGCTTCAAGGCTTGCCACTTTTGAACAATGTATCAACTGTACTTATTGTAATAATGATACAGGATTAATACACTAAAAAAGAAATTTATTTGTCAACTAAATTTTGAATGTTCAATAAAAAAATAATTTCAAAATTGCTAAAACTATTTAATCAACAATGTAATTTCATAATTATAACATTGTTATAATAATTATAATCATTAAAACTAAAGACATATTCTATCAATTAATAAAGCCATTTTTTTAAAAGGTAGGACAGAAATTGACTTCTATACTTTTAATATTTGCCCAAAATTTAGGAGGTCTTTAGACCAAGCCAACTATATAAATTTTTTTTTTGAAATTTGAAATTCTTTCTGCCAATTCGGAACGTAAATGAACCTCCGCATGGCGCACTTTCCT